CCGCCCCTCCCCTTTGCTCCCTTTCCTCTTCTAACGAAAATGATACGATCTCTGTTACTTTGGACAAGAGCACGGAGCAACAGGGCAAGAGAGAATGGTGTCACGCTGACAGAGGGCAGAGTTAGATTGCATTTTGGGAAGAAATCCTTCCCTGTGAGGTGCTGAGGCACTGGCACAGATTCCCAGGGAAGCTGTGGCTGCTCCATCCCTGGAAGTGTTCCAGGCCAGGTTGGATGGGGCTTGGAGCAACCTGGGCTAGTGGAAGGTGTCCCTGCCCATGGCCAGGGGTGGAATAGATAAGCTTTAAGGCCCTTTCATCCCAAACCATTCTGTAATGCTGTGGGTCTGTTTTTCTCTCCCCCATCACATGCTGGCTTTGTTTGTACCTTCCTCTAGAGGGAATGGCCATAAACTGATACAGGGGAGATTCAGGTTAGATGTTAGGAGAAATGTTTTCCCTGTTTGGGTGTTCAGGCACTGGAATATTGGCCAGGGAGGGGGGGGAGGCAGGGGAGATTCAGGTTAGATGTTAGGAGAAATGTTTTCCCTGTTTGGGTGTTCAGGCACTGGAATATTGGCCAGGGAGGTGGTGGAGTCACCGTCCCTGGAGGTGTTTAAGAGGTGTCTGGATCTGACACTGGAGGATCTGGTTTGGGGTTACAGCAGTGAAACGTTAAGGATTGAACTCAATGATCTTAGAGATCTCCTCCAACCTTTATGATTCTATGAGTGGACAGTCACCATCCCTGGAGGTGTCTGAGGACACACTGGACGTGGCACTCAGTGCCATGGTCTAGTGGACATGGGGGTGTTAGGTCACAGGTTGGACTCGATGATCTCAGAGGTATTTTCCAACCTTAATGAATCTGAGATTCTGTGTAAAATTCCAATCTGGAAATGAACTGATAATTCAGTTTGTAAAATCAGTATTTCCCTGAAACTCTTGTGAACCTCTGGGCAAACAAAGGGTGATCTAGTTGCCAGTAAATATATTCCATCATTTGAATGAGGACAACGAAACCAAATTAAATAAGATGACATTGCAGGGAGAAAAATAGGAATGAAAGTTTCAGGTGCCTCTTGGAGGCTTTGGCTGAAGAGTTGTGATTCATCCAGTGCTCATGAGAGTGTGGTCTGAGGTCAGACCTTACCAGTGAAGTGCAAGCTCTGGCAGTAATTGAAATCACAGTGTTTAATCAAGGAAGGAGGAATAAGTATGAATAAAATAGAATATTACCAAATGTGAGAGGTTTGGCTTTGGGTTTTTTTCCCTCCTCACAAGTATTAGCCCAGAATGATAAAGACATCAGGGAGAATTCTGTTAGGTTAACAGCGAAAAAGAGATTAAGCATAAATTGTTATGGATGGTTTAGTAGTAGTTGCTAATGGTGTGGTGAAGGTACTACCTATTTTGTTATATATTTAACAAGATAACATGGATTTTGGTGTGCAAAGACAATGAAATGCCATGTAGGTGTTGTAATTATAAGCTCAGTGAAGGCAGTTTTGCTTACCTGGATGTTTGCAGCACTCAAAGAGTTGAGGAAATCTCTTAAGTTGCTTCCGTTTGTTTTAGTGGCATACATACTGTGACCATCACAAACATTGCAGTTCCCTGTATTGCACAGGTTGGCTGGTCTGGTGGTGGCCCTTGAACATTTGCTCACCTGTCAGCCTCTCCATAATGTATGCAATTAGAGAGAATGGCTTTAATTGCACTTTTATCACATTTGAAGCCACATGTTCCTGTGATGCTGTGGGGACTTCTTTCCTTCCAGGAATTACAGGGTTGATAAACACCAATGCAGTCAATCTCTGCAAGGGCTTTGACTTTGGGGGATTTCTGTTCCACCCTCCCCAAAAGTATAAATTACTCCCATGTCATGAATGAAGTTCTGACATAGCCAATGAGTGTAAATGTGTTTCATATCAAAGACAAGATTGAAAGGCAACTTTATCTCACCATAGAGCTATGTCTATTTACACTCTTAGTCTTTCTTACTGACCAGTTTCTAAACTGCACTTACAAAACCCGGAACAGCAGTAACTGGAAGCTTGAGCTTGGTAACCTCATTTGGGGCGTTTAGATGTTAATCACAGCCATTAAACCACACACTCATTGTTAGGACAAGCTACCTGAGGAAGTGATGTTGCCACCTCTAAATTGATGATATCTTTTGGGGAGTTTCTTGAAAGTTTAGCACAAAATTCAGCTCAAAATGCATCAAGCCAGGATCAACTTGAATGGTTTCTGAGAACTGTTCTAGACCTATACCCTCCAGGTCTTCTAATACTTCATTGGCAATAGTGCTGTGTAGTGCATGGTGTGATTCTTTTTACTTCCTCAGGTACCAATGTTACCTGTAATGCAATGGCAGGAGCTAAATAGGGTGAGGCTACAGTACTTGTTTTCAGGTGTGTCACCCTTTTTATTTTCCCTATGTCTGTCTTTGTTTCTGGTCATGAAGTTAAACAACTTAAAGTGGAAAGTAACTTCAAGCTGTATAGTTTCTGCAGCTTATTGTTTCAGGAGTATGGAAACAGTGGAAAAGATAAAGGAGAGACTGACAATCCAGCTGAAAAATGGATTTAAATCACAGCTAGCCCATGCTACTGGAATGCCTAGCACTGGTGGAGTGGAGTCATGCTGGAATCTCAGGCAGTGTCTTCAGGATGACCTGCTTTACTGCACCACTTAATTGCTGACAGTTCTCAAAGGGTGTAGAAAAGTAGTTCATGACTTAGACAGCTGTAATGAAGACTTTGAACCACTGTAAGCACAGCTCGAGAAAGGACAGCTAGCTAACTCTGCTGCATTTACTTCGTGAGAAAGTGATGTGTAATGTACTGATCACTGTTTATCCCTGTTGTTTGTTTTGCTGCTCTTGTGCAATCAAACTGAAGGATTTTGTATTTATAGTTGCTGCTATTTAAATCGAAGATTAAATCAGCTATCAAGCCATGATCCATTGTGGAAAAGACACTGCAAGAAGTACTGGCTCATTTCAGAGTAAGTGGAGTTGTTTTAAGTCTTTTTTTCTGTGAAAATGAATTTCTGAGCCATGTTATTGTGCTGTCTGTTTATGGCCACGTGATTTCTGGTAACCCTAAGGTTGAGTTGGTGTTCAGCAGCTTCAAAGCCATGAAAGGCTGGAGGTGTAAAAATATTAATTTCCTGGAAAGGTTTCATGAACATACAAGTGTTAAAGTTTTGTGGACAGGTAGAGAAGAGGTGCACTGCTAATACCTCAGGTGAAGCAAAGGCTGCAGCTTGGATTTACCAGACCCTGTGGAGCAGAGTAACATTATGAGGGACACATCAGTCAAGGATAGTCATTACCCCACTGTGGATTTTAAATTTTACCACTTTGGTTTGACATTAGTCTATCTAACATCACAGATTAAACTTTATCTACTTTCACTCCCCCCCCCCCAAAAAATCTTCAAGAAGTAAAGTTGTTCTCTCATTTTTAGGGCTAGGGAGATCTTAGAGGTGATGTGAAGATTTCTCAATTGTTGCATTTTTATTTAGGTGTGTGAAGCTGTACTAAATCTTGCAGATTGAGCACACTGGTTGGACTGAGGAGCTGGAATATATCCTGACATAGACAAGGACTGCTACAGTCTGGAGGCAAACATCCTTTATCAGATGTTAGTCAGCACTTTTTTGCCAGCCTGTCTTCCCATGTCATGCCTGTGAGGAGAACTGAATACACAGGAATTCCTTAACAAAGTGACTTTGCAGCTCAGTGCACAGACCTCTCATTTGACTCTGGTTTGCTCCTTGTTATTGGGTAAATAAAGGAGTTTGTGACTAGTGCAGCAGATAAAAAACGTGATGTGAATTAGCAATTCGGCAGCTGTAGGGTTCCCTCCCAGGCAGCACTCTGTTTAGAAGGCACTCTGTGAAGGAGTATTGTTTCTGGATTTTCCTCTAAGTACCCCAAAGGTTTCCCAATTCTGTTCCAACTTGCTGTGGAGGAGATGCTGGAATTAACTGAGTTTGTGTGGCAGTGCTCCTGGCTGGACCTTTCTGTTCCTGCCAGATAACAAACACTAACTCCTTGGGTGTAGCTTGGAATTTGAACATATGTTCTTCATGCCCACTCAGAGAGGAGAAAAGCCGACGGAATCAGAGCTGGAAATCCATCTTCATCACTACCTACTCTGACCTAGGGAGATACATCCAATACTATGCCACCCTGAAGAAGGCCTGGGATGACCTGGAGAAGTACTTGGGACAGTGGTGTCCCCGGATGATTGGTTCTCTGAAAGGTATGCTGGAGCTGCTGCTGGCTGGGGGAGCTTGGCTCACCCAGCCTTGCCTGCCATTCAGTGTCTTGCTGCTTTCATCAAAGGTGTGTCCCTTGATTTTCAGAGTCCTGAAAGTCAGGTGGATGTGCTTTCCCTTCCCCTGCAGTAAATAAGGAAATGTGACCACAGGCATCCTTGCCCAGTTGCTATGGATCCATAGATTCTCTGGACACTTCAGAAAAGTAATCAAGAGGTTTTTTTTTTCTTTTATCTTCTTTACCTCTGGAGAATCAGGAAATGAATACACTTGTTACTCCTTTTGTCTTTGGTTACTATGACCAATTGTTTATTTGTTTGTTATTATTTTTAGTGGCATAATCCCACTACTTCAAGGACCTCCTGATGTGATTTTATTTGTGAGGTTTTCCTAAGACCTAATTAAAACACTCTTACATGAAAACATACATGTTAAACTGAAGCCAAACAAAAAGGAAGGTGTGGGGTCTTTTTTCTTTTTATCTGAAGGTCTTACTGTGTTCCTCTAATGGAGATAAATCAGTGGTCAAATGATAATTTTTGCTTTTCTTCCTCTAAGATTCTATTTTCAATTTCAATTTGTGTTTTAGTATTTGAAGTACTTCCAACTGTTCTGGTTCATAACTCTTATATGATGTGTTGGTGCTTTTCTGGTATAGGGACAAAAAAGCTTTTAAATTTTCAGCTACTTCAGGGTTTATTTGAAGTTGACTTTTAGACCAAGATGTTAGATTTAACCTGGTCTGTGAACTGGAAAGAGGACTATAGACCGTGATCTCTTTCCTGCTTAAACTTGTGTGTTTCTTGGCTTGCAGGATGGTGCTGGATTCCTGAGTTCTGCTAAGTGTTTGTGAAGAGTAGAATGTAGATCTTAATGCTTACTATTTTCTTTAATTTGTTAATAAACTGGAAAGTTGGAGGTATTGAAATTAACAGGTTTTACTTTCAAAATTCCTCTGAAGAATTTGGTGCAACCAAGCTTCTGTTTATCTACAGAAATACAAGGCTAAGTTTTAAATGATCAGTTTCCACACTTGTATAGTCATAGCACGTTTTAGATAAAACTTAGCCTTTTTACATACCATTTGTAAGGGATATTTTTTCAGTTAATTGTTAAATTATATCCTGTGAATGAAGCAGATAATGAATACAAAAAGGGTTTAAAAAGAATTGCCCAACAAACCTTGATTGGAACAGACCACACAGCCATACTTTCTGAGAAGTGAGGGTTTGGAAAGCCCCTGAAGTGTGTGTGGAGGTGTGAGAATAGTTCTCTTCTCCCCTTTCTGTGGTTGATGTGAGCTTGGAGTTCCAGGTGAATGGTGGCTGCAGCCAACACTCTTGGTTACTGACTGAGCTGCAAACTGAAAGGAGCAACTAGAATGATGAAAGAGCAAAATCAATATTGCCTGAAGGTTGTAACTGGGACTCAATTAGCTAATGACAACATTGTGGGGGAAAGGTTCCTTTTGCTTTATAAACACTTTGTGCTTTCAGGCCTGTTGAGGTTTCCCTGGATAGAGACAAGAGCTGTATCAAGGAATCACTTGGTCATCATCTGCCTTTCAGATTTATGTAATGTTCCTTCTGCTCATGTCATGAAGTCACCAGATATTGACTTGAGTCCATCTTGGTTTGATCCAGGCATTTACAAATTCCATGCTTTCTATCCCATCTGTGTTCTGCCCCAGAGAGTGTCCGGGAGGAGGATCTGGATGCTGTGGAAGCACAAATTCGTTGCAAACTCCCTGATGACTATCGGTGCTCGTTCCGTATCCACAATGGGCAGAAGTTAGTTGTTCCTGGGTAAGGAGAGAAAACTAAGAAAACTACTTACCACATTATTAATTCCTTCTGTATTTCTCAGACACTTTGTTTAATAAAAAGGCTAAGATGTCTCCTGAACAGGATAAATGAGGCATTTAAATGTATTGTAACTGAGTCACTGCTTAACTGACATGTCTAGAATGGGCTCTCTTCTAATGCTGGGAGTAATTGAACACACAGTGTAACTTTCTAATTGCTCAAATTACTCTTACACTTTCCTTTTGCCTAGTGAGAACCCTTTTCATTTTCGTGCAATAACTCAAGCTTCCAGCTGGTAGACTTTTAATCATAGCACTGCAAGTTGCTCCCCTGAAGTTTTGGGTTGTACTACAGAAGTAAATTAGCCTCTTGCACTCTTCAGGCTTAGTTCTTAATACCTTTTTTTTTTTCTTTCAAATGGTTAGGGAATAACTTTAACCCAGTTAGTCATATGAAATGGATCAAAATGTCAGTTCTGCAAATTAAGTTTTCTCAGCAGAAGATCTTAAAATTTTACACAGTTTCAGCAGTGAAAAGCTGCTTTTACATTAAGGTTAGAAGGCAGATAGCCAAACAGTTTCCTATCCTTCAGCTATAGCAAAAGTTAGCAGGTCAGCACTTGATAAAGTGCTGCAAACATTGGCAAAAGATGGGAAGCTACAGCAAATGTTTGCAGTGTCTGTGGGGAGGAATGTATTCATGTTGCTCTGCCAAAACCTTCCCTAGTAAAGGCAGTGCAGCTTTTTCCAATTCTAGTGCTGGATGTGCAGAAGGGATATGGGGAGCTGTTTTATGCAAGCACAAGGGTGATTTCTAGTTCTGTTTTCCAGAAGAGACTTTTTTTTAGAGAGGAGATAGGAGCCCTAGGTCTAGTTTTCAAATGAAGCTTTGCAGCCTGTGTGCTTCCTGCTCTTCCTACTGCTTTGTCACTCCCACAAAGCCTGTGCTGTGATGATGTGCCCATGGAAGGGCTGCAGGAGCACACCCAAGCCTTTGGGCATGCCCTTCAGCTTGGAGCACTGTCACTGGGCTGTGGCCCAGTGCTGTGCCCTCAGAGGGGAGGCCTGAGCCTGACACACAGGTTGGCAAACCTGGTTGGTGTGGCACTGACTGGGGAAAGAGGTAGGACTGACAGAACGAGAACAGAAGAAGAAAAGCTGCCACACTGTGAGGAGAAGGTGTGGTCTCACTGGTGGGGACAAGCTTGGTTGTGGGAGGTGAATGCTGGAATGGTCAAGGGTGGGTAATGGGACTCTGCAGTAAGTTGTTAGATAGAAATGGAAGTGATTGTCATTGCTTCAGGTTTCAGTGTTTGGATGTCAGCACCTCTTTTTAAACTGTAGAATGTGCTGATTCCAGGCAAGACTAGGTGAGGAGGAGGAGGAATGGAACTTGTTGCCCAAGAAGGGATCAGCTTATAGCACGCTGACATGTGGCAGCTTGTACCTGAGTCACTGCTTTCACAACACCCCTGAACGCTGAGCATCAGCAGCAGTTCACATCTAAATTGCTTTCACTGGTGCTCTCAGCAGGGAGTGTGGGTGTGGAGGTGTACACTGCAGGTTTGTGTACTCCTCACATTGCTATGTGCACCGCTGTACTATGTCCCTTGGAGCTGATCAGTTTGATCCTGTTTCGGTTTTTGATCATTCTTAGCATGAGTGTAGGTTGCTTGGATTTTTCATTTTCATCCTGGCTCTCATCTAGCCCAGCATTCCTATCAATATTAACCTTATTCCAGTGCTCACTTCCATTCCTAATCTGCTGAGTCTTTCTGATTAGCACTCCTTTTCCCAAATGTGTATGTTCTTTTATTGCACGTGAGAGGCTCCTTCTGCTGCTTCAACATCACCTTACTGTCAAAACCAGATTAAAACATCCCATCCTTTCCTGTGCTGCTTACACAAAGCTAGAGGGAAAAATCAGAGAGACATTTGATGGCCTTGCCATGTCATGGTGATGAATATTATCTTCTTGCCTTGTATGTCTGTTTGCTTGGGTCTATGCCTTAGTGTTATACTGAGATGATAGTTTCTGGAGCTTAGTAGTTATTTCACTTCTCAATCTTTTCTCCAAAGCATAGAGTACTTTGCTTACTGTAGTTTTGGTCAATGACTGCTACTATAGCAGCCTGGTATTCATTGTGCCATGGAAAGATCATGGATGCTTTGGTAGTATTGAAATGAACTTGTACAAAGCTGGAGACACAGACCAGTGGTTATTGTTGTATTACGCTGCTATCAGGAGCTGTGTCAGCTGTGAACAGCTCCTTTGAAGGCATTGCAGACACGATGGGAACCACCAACAGAGTTTAAAACGTGCAGGGAAGTGTTTACCTTGGAGCCATCAGCCTCCCTTGTGAAGTCTGACGTGAGCTACTAACCTAGTTTGGCACGTGGATGTTAGTCTTGGGTTTCACCTAAGTCTTGATAAGCGTCTAGAGCATTGAAAGAATCAGTGTTTCTGAAGGATCAAAAGCTAACCTTGACTTGTGAGTGCTGTCTTTGTTTATCTTTCCCTTTCTTGTTGTTGTCTTAAGCCTGATGGGCAGCATGGCCCTGTCCAACCACTACCGCTCCGAGGACTTGCTGGACATCGACACGGCGGCTGGAGGGTTCCAGCAGAGACTGGGCCTGAAGCAGTGCCTCCCTCTGACCTTCTGCATTCACACTGGTCTGAGTCAATACATGGCCCTGGAGAGTGTGGAGGGACGAAATAAATACGAGATCTTCTATCAGTGTCCAGTAAGGAGGAGATATTTATACTTGTCAGTGATGTCTAATGATTGATAGTGCCCCTGTGCTTGTTATCTGGTAGCTGAAATATTTTATGTAGCAAAAAGTGAATATTAAGATTATATCAGCTTGTTACTTGCTCCTGAGTTGCCATCTGGTTTTCATCAAAGCCCATAAGTGAAAGGAATGTCCGTGAAGTGCTTAATGGTTGTAGCAACTTCTGTAGGGTCGTGGTGATGGGCAAGATTCATCCTTTTTTTGGAAGGCATCAATTTAATTTGCTCAGACTGTGGCAGGTATATATACAGAGTGTGTGTATGTACATATATATATATATATATATGTATGTATGTATTCTTGTCCCTGTTTCTGTAAGGAAGAAAAGCTTTTTCATTATGAAAGATCAGCATCTATATGTTTGTATATATGTATGTATGTCCTCCTCCAGTTTGTTAGATGTGAAATTAAGACAGTACACGATCCCCTTTGTTTTGTAAGCAGGACTTGCTCTCCAGCAAGAGAATAAACTGCTGTTGATCAGCTTCTTTGTAGAATTTAGCTCCCTGAGTATTTTGCATGATTCTTAAAGCTGTAGAGGTTTAAGAGAGCCATTTTGTTGCTAGCAAAGCTTCAGGATATTATACCTAATAAGATTTTTAACCTCTCTCTCTCCACCCATCACCTGGTGACTTCCCTACCACCACCTGTCCCCCCCAAAAGAAAGTGGGGCAAGTAAGGTTTTTCCCAGGATTTGAGCCACTCATTCCCAGTTTCTTGTAAAAAGACATAGGAATCTTCATCCTGCTGTAAAGTTCCTGGCAGTTTATTTTCAAAGCACATAGAAATGAGATTTCTAGGGATTGCCTTGATAATGGATCACTTGAAGGATGTGAACATCCCCCTTTGTATTATGCCAACTATTTAAACCTTCTGATATTGCTTGGGAACTTGGAAGGTCACCCAAACACTTTATTTTGGTTCATCTCTGGTCAGCCCTGTTTGTTCCAGAGAGATGTGATTGTACAGGAGGTGGGATTGTTTAGCCTGGAGAAGGCAGGACTCAAGGGGGTCGTACCAATGTTGATAAATATGTGATAGCAGAGTGTAAAGGAGTCAGAGATAGACTCTTCACTGTGCTGCCTGCCCAGAGACAGAGAAGGGACAGTGAGTACAGGTTGAAACACAGGAAACTTGACCTGGCTGTGCACAAAATCATGTTTGCTGTGGGTGTGGTTGGACACTGGAACAGGTTACCCAGAGAGCTTCTGCTGTTCCTTTCACTGGAGAGAGTCAAACCCCAACTGGATGTGACCCTGGTGCTATAGGTCACCCTGCCCCAGGCAGAGGGATCAGACTGATCATCTCCAGAGTTCTCTCCCAGCCTCAGCTGTTCTGTGCCTCTGTTCCAAGGCAGTATTTCTGGGGGCCTTGTTTCTTGAACGATGCATTGAACCTGATTTTCTATGCAGGAGCCTTGGTGGAAGGTTCAAACTGTATGTTCAGTGGTGACGTGAGCACTCGCAGGGACAGGAATGTGAGTCTTACATGGCTGAGGGTCTGACTAGGAGAATAATGATGTGTTAAGCAGCCAGACCTTAGGTTTGGGGAATATAGGGAAAGGATTCCCTATGTTATATTTCAGGTGTTGAATTTTAACCTTGAAAGTCCAGTGTTCTCCTTCTAACGCATCCTGAAACTTCTTTCCCTTTCAGGACCAAATGGCTCGCAATCCCTCTGCCATCGTTATGTTCATTACAGGTAAGACATTAGCTAAAATATCCTGCAAAATGTTTTCATTTTGGTATGTAAAAATTGCATATCAGTGTGACTTGAACAAAGCAAGTGTTCCAGATGTTCTGTGCTACCTGTAAGACTCTAACCTGCTTTAAAACATCAGTGGTTACTTGAAATGAGATGCAAATATTCTCAATTAAAGTTTCTCCTTCTGCGTGTCCTGTATACAAATCAGTTTCTAACCTGCCTAGCAAGGTGAGCAAAACCTTTGTTAGCCATCGTGGGGTGATGTCAGCAGTTATTAAACACAGCACCCAAGTGGTCAGAAAGGTTTAGATATATTTTATTTTTCCCCAGTAGTTTTTGGAGCCATCTTAGAAGGTGAAAGATCTGTTTGTTTTGGCTATGTCTAAATTAATTCCTTTCAGCAGCAAAGGAGGTGTGCAATAAATGTCACTAAAATGAATATTAAAATCTAGCAGTAAGAAACCACATTAGGCATTGCTATACCATTGCTGATCTGGGTTAATCTTGGCTACCACAGGGTGGAGGGGAAGTTCCATACACAGCATTTCTCTTTGCACTCTGAAGGTGGAAGGGTAAATTGGTCCACTTTTTCTGTTCAGCTACTTTGTACAAGGTTTGTATTCTGTAGATTAGTAGTAGAAAGAAGGCTAATAAACTTGGAGTCCCTTAGACTTCCAGAAGATCAAAGGACAGCACACATAGCTCGTGCTCAAAGGTGGCAAGTGCACTTAATCTGGCAGGGTAGTACTTGATAACAGAGCAGTGAAGGTGAGATTAATCATTTCTTTGTATTTCAGTTTAAATCCAATTTTGGATCAGGACTGTTGATAAACAGTTGAACTCTGTACTTTTCTGTTGAACTCTGTATTGCAATGCTTGAAAGATTTATGGCTGAGAAATTGCTTTACAGAGAGCTGGTATGTGTGAAACTCTTCTTGGAGAGTTAAATGTGACAGCTCGAGTGTCTACTTAGCAATCAAGCTGTTCCAAAATAATGACTGGGTGTATGAAATGGTGTTCTCAGACAATGGCTCCAAGTGTCTGAAAACCCCGAGCTCTTCAGAGTGTTCTGGGTTGTAGCAGGAGTGTGGAGTGTGTCTATGACTTATCCCTCCTTTTTAAGGAGAGGAAATTCTGCAGCTTGCTAGCATTTCCCTTAGAAGCTATTCAAGTGGAGACCAAGTGATGAGACACACCAGCATTTAAGACCATGATTATAATGTGGAATACTTAGCTGGGAGATTGTTTGCTGGCTGTGTCAGTTCTGCAGTATGCACCCTTAGCTCTCAGTGCTTGTTTGGTTTCTCCAAGTTATCCTTCCTGGTGGAATGAACTGGAGTACTGACTGACTCATCTAAGTAAGTCTGAGGGTTTGTTATAAAAACAATCAAAGCTTTAAACTTTTTCCATGAAGTATTTATTGTAATGTGCTTAGTGGTAAATTTGCCTGTCCCTATGAATGTTTTTCTTCCTTGGCTTGTAGGGACATCTTACTTGGAGTGGTTTACATCCTATGTAAACAAAGTTGTCACTGGAGGTTATCCTATCATCAGAGACCAGATCTTCAGGTATTGTGTCTGGGATTTAGAACCTCAGTGCAAGGTTTTGATGCTGCTTCTGCAATGCTGACCTCTTCCCAAGTACTTCTGGGTGCCTGATAACAAAAGCTGATGGTGGAAAGAGGAGAAAGCATGTGAAACTTATGGCAGATAAAGCTGTAAAAAGGAATGCTTAAAGCCATTTTATTAAACAGAAGCTTCAGAGTTTGCAGTAACAGGACCAGAATTTTGCCTTGTAACTGATCTGAAGTTTAGTAAACAGCATGATATATATTCTACTTGCCATGAGTGTGTTGCTGCTGCTGTACTGTTCTGAGTTATTTAAACCCCCAATCTTTCAGCAAACTGCTCTCTGAAATAGCACTGCTGAGTATGTAAATGAACAGCACTTGTTCTGGTGTTTGCATCTTCATGCACTTGCAAGTTCTTCTAAGTAGAAGCAAGAGCCTTAATTCTGTCCAACTGGGATGCTGTAGAGCCAAGTCCCTGGTCTGTAAAGTAATTTTTTGATAGAGTTTCTAGGATTTCTTTTTCAAATAGCATAATGACACATTTTTATTAAACAAATGTGTTTTCATTGACCTCAGACCAAACTTTTCACCTAGTACAAGTGTTAATGGAGGTACAAAGGGGCCCAGAGCTGTCAGGGTTCAGGTGATGGGGAGCTGCACAGCCTGAAGACACTGCACACATCTGTCCTTTATTTTACTGCCTAATGAAAGGTTAAGAATTGCATTTAACTTAGCACCACAGTGTTCTTATTAGTGATTAACTAATGGCTTTACATGGTTGGTTTTCTGTATTGAATGTGCAGAGCTGTTTGCAGAGTTAATGTTTTCCTCTCTGTAGGTATGTGCATGACAAAGAATGTGTTGCTACCACAGGAGATATTACTGTGTCTGTGTCCACGTCTTTTCTACCTGAACTCAGTTCTGTCCATCCACCACATTATTTCTTCACCTACAGAATCAGGTAAAAATAACAACTGGATTAACTCTTACAGCACAGGATAAGACCTATGGAAGGTTCAAAGCATCAGTTGTTGCACATCTCTGCACAGAATTCCAAAATGAACAGGATGTGCACAACATGCTGTACTTCTTAATAAAAAAAACCTAAATCATTACACAGGGGACACAGAGTACCAGTTGACTTGGCAGTTGGTTAAGTACAGTGATGGGTGGGGAAAAGAAGTAGCTGTTGTGATTTAGAAAGGGGTAAATAACAACAGAGTGAGGCAGAGGCATGGAGGTGGATCCTGCTAACTCATTCAGGATACTTTGCCTTAGTGGGTTATTTCCAGCCTACTTTGAGATCTCAAGGGCACTAAAGCATTCCTAAAGTATGTGAAAATAATTGCATAACCATTAAGCATGTTCTTTGGCTCCTAGAATTGAAATGTCCAAAGATGCTCTTCCTGAGAAGGCTTGTCAGCTGGACAGCAGGTACTGGAGAATAACAAATGCAAAAGGTGATGTGGAAGAAGTGCAAGGTCCTGGAGTAGTTGGTAAGTGAAAGATTATTTTTCCTAACCCAGCAGAGGGAGAGTGTTTAATGTACTTGTTAGGCAAGTTAGGTTACTCATCAGGGTAGTAGTTATATAGTTTGTATCAAAATCACTTTGTTGCTTGAGAGAAAAAGAATATGTATCATCTGTTCTGGCTTTCAAGTTGTTTTGCAAGGGCTTTCTGAGCATCCTGCTAGTTAACTGCTATTCAGATAGATTTTTTTAGTATCAGTAATTGCTGAGAATCATTTGTGCATCTACTGGAATATAGAATGATCTGCCTGAATTTGTTGTGGAGTACAAGTGTTTTAGCAAACTGCTAAATTGTAGTTGTGTCTCAGTCCTTAACTAATGTGCTCTAATATTTTACCACCAGGGGAGTTTCCAATTATTAGTCCAGGGAGAGTCTATGAATACACCAGCTGTACTACCTTTTCCACAACCTCTGGATACATGGAGGGGTACTACACCTTCCACTGCCTCTACTACAAGGACAGGTTCTTTAATGTCACAATTCCTAGATTTCACATGGTGTGTCCAACGTTCAAGGTGTCTACAGCATGACTGGTAAGTGGAGATGCAGGTTCCCAAAAAAAACCCCACCAAAATGGCAAAAATTACAGTGCTGAACAGTGTTTATGTTGCTAATTCCATACAAAATATGCACCACATTTCAGAGCTCTTAGAAATTAAGTTGTAGAGTCTGTATGATGTTCATTACTTCTTGCTGGAAGTGCATTTCATAAAGCCATTTAATGACTTTGCAAATCAGGAAGATACTTAACTTGCTGTTAATTATAATGTAGTTTTAGTTGGGAGATTGCAGGCTAACTATCACTTCTCCCTTTGCTTTGGCACATTTAGAGAAGAACACTTGATTTTTTTCTTCCTGCTTTTTGTGCAAGCACTGAGCCTTTCCTCAGGGGTGGGCACCTGCTTGTACACTTCCTCGGGTTTTTCCCAGGATTTGAGCCACTCATTCCAGCACCTCTCACAGCAGGTGCCAGCAGATATGTTGCTTCTAACAGAAAATGACATCTCTTAACTCTTGCTCATATATTCGGGAGCTGTAACCTCCTTCTCTTCAGCTCACTGTAAAAGCAATTTGCTTTTCTCAGTTGCTCTGCCTCTGTTTTTAAAGGCAGCAATGAGCCTTTGCCTTTTAAACTACTTTAATCAAAGACAGCTGGAGCTGCCAAGGCAATCAGCACAGCTGAGATATGGATTTGGGGCTTTGCATAGTTGTGGGTATGGAATAATAAAACCTAAGGGAGATTTGCTGAGTTGAAGGTCAGGTAGTTTGGCAAAATGATCTCTGTGGCAAATGAAACTTAGTAGTTGTAAAGAGGTGGTTTTAGGACATAGACACAATATCTGCTTCAGCTAATCAATGTGATAATGCAGACCAGATTGTTCCAGGCAATTGTTAATGCTTTCTTATAACTAGGTGGGAGAGAAGATTTTAATCAAATAATGGATGTGTTTTGTATTAGGAAACAAATCCTAATGAATCTGCAGTGGATGAAGATTCCACAGACACTGATGACTCTGAAGATCAGCACATAGTGTTGGACATTCCTGTGCCCTCTGGTCGCTGCCAGCATCATACCTGATGGGATTGTTTTCCGAGCTAACTGTTTTCAGAAGTTGAATTCTTTGGGGCTAGTGCATAAGGATATTTCTGACTCCTGTAAATGATCTCTGTTGCACATCAGGGCAACTAGCATGAATGTTGGTGCCAGTTCTGATATTCGTTAGAGTATAACTTCTTTATTCCCTGGTTTGGAAAGGGTGGGAGGGTGGGAGACAGGGGAGGGAGAGGAAGAGAAAGGTGTTTGGGCTTTGTTCACTTTTTTCTGAAGTGTGGAACAGCTTGATAGTCTGAGGTTATTACATCTTCCATTTTTAAACTATTGCCTATTTGTGACCATACTGCAGACATGGTGTGGGGGTTTGGTTTTATACAAGTATTTAAAATTAGCAATAGACAAGATGGCAAAAAAGGTGTATCCTGCTGTCCTTTCTCATGAGTTTCTCCTCTGGGTAACTCCTGCTAAGAATGAAACTTGCTGTTTGGACTGTACATCCCATTTGGGTGAGATTAGGTGCTCTTAGGCTATTTTTTAAAAAAAATTAACATAGAAATAGCAAAAAGTTCTGGTCATCGAATGCATAAGTTGGGACTGAAACTGGCCTTATTTTCAGACAATCTGTTTGTTGGCTTAATTTTATGCTAAGTGACTCTGATTGGATAATGCCTCTGGGAATGTTGTGTCCATGCATAATCTGCCACTCACTAACCAGGAAGTTTCTCAATGACTACAAAGTATGGATTTGTAAATATGTTTTGAGGTGGGTTTTTTTTTCTTTATATGATGTTTGCTGTTGTCATAGGTGACAAATTTATGCTAAGTATCATGTTTCCCTAAATCCTCTGGATTTTTGTAACTATGCCTGAATTAAAAAAGGAAAGGAAAATAAAAATGGAGGAGCTTGAGGGAACACCAGATGAGTAGAAACTATATTTAAAGAAGTATCTGTTTGTTTTATCATTTTTATTTTGGGTTTTTTTGTTGTCATTAATAAACAACTTAACTGCCTCCTTCCCTCTGAAGTGCTGCATGGGACTGTTCTTGCCAAGACATTGCTGTAGTCAGTGCCTCATCTTCACAGACAGAATTAGTAGCTCCTATGAGGAAAACTCGGTGTATTGTGGTTCCAGCTCAAAGTTTCCATTATTGACTAGTTGCATGTTGACAGGGGCAACAGAAATGACAGACACCAGCAAAAAGAATAGGCTTATTTTACTACTGGAGTTTGAGATAATACAGAAATGAGTAATATATTTACTTACACAGTCAGTTTGCTAAGCTCTAATTTCAAGCAGCATGAGCAGCAAATTAGATAAGCATTACTACACATGAGAAAGAATAGTGATTAAGAAAGACACATCACCAATTGCCCTAATACTTTATCACCATCCAGACCTGCAGTTGCTGGGGAGCCCCTGGTTGCAGTGAGGGTTTGGAGAGCCTTTCCTGGTGATTGGGAAGTCCTACACAGTGTATCCACTCATAGCTGAGACGTCCAAAGTCGCTGCAAATACTTTGCATAAAAGTTATCAGCCTTTTAGTCATCTAAATTTTAATTCTGGCATTTTAATTCTGGCATTAAAACAGCTGCATCCAATGTCATTATGCATCTACTTTCAGCAGTTTAGCCAACTAGCACAAAAGAGCATTGATCACAAGAAGTACAGGACTCATATCTGCAAGTCAGCTCTAGCTTGGGCTTGTTGTCCAAACTCTAGCATTTCAATTGGTCTGTTGACTTACAGATGAATCATGGTGATTAAACTGCTCCTATAGCTAGTGATGCAGATATAGTCAGATCATAATGTTTCAAACCCCAAAGGTAAAGTCCATTCACAAACACTTTCCCCCATTTTATATACCAAGCATGATATCAAATGGTATGGAGTAACCCTTTGGTCAGTTTGGGTCACCTGTCCCAGAACAGCACATTACAGCAAGTCCTGGTATTGGATTCTCCATGTGCTCAGACTGCTTTAGTGCCAGAAAGCATTTTCCATAGTGATACAAGGTAGAAAAACCAAGTATCGAGTATGATCCCTACAACAGTTGTTTGGGTAAAACATCTGAAGAGTCAAAACCAATTGCTGCTGTCCCTTGCAGGAGTCAGGGCAGCAGTGAGAATTGCTAGAGTGGTTTCAAAATGTTGCCAAGTTCCCCAGTTTTCTTTTCCCTCAGTATTATCTGTGAGGGGAAATTGTGTAATGCTTTCTCACACAAATTTCATCCTGGGTTCAGGGAAACAAGGTTTTACCAGAATGAGAGCTTCCTCCAGAATTTCATCCTGGGTTCAGTGAAACAGGGTTTTACCAGAATGAGAGCTTCCTCCAGGTCTATCAGTCTGTTGTGCATTATAAGGCAGAAAACCCTCATAGTTGGGGGCTTGCTTGGGACTTTACCAGGATCTGTATGCTCTAGTTGAGTGGGATCAGCTCAAGGGTATGGGATACAGTAAACACTCCCAATTCTTTTGCCAATTTCACTTTTTTTAGGGAGTGATTCTCCCTTGGGTCCTTAAAGAGGAGCTATAATTATTGCTGATTGTGGGAGAAGCCAAAGGCCAGGACAGTGCTGTTCTGTCATTCCTGAGCACTGCAGAGAGAGCTGGAGGCCAGAGGACATGTGAGAGCTGTGTCTGTGGAGTGATGAGGTAACCAGGTAGGGAAGTGACAGATGATAGCTGTTACTGTCCCAAACACGCATGTGTTTGTAACTGGGAAAGGTTACTCCCTTGCTCCGGGCAGCTATTTTAGCACAGGGCGTAGTGCCTGGAGCTGCCAGAAGCACTTGTAGCTCTTCATCATGCGCAGCCAGTGGCTCTCCCCACCTCACCCAAAACTGAAGGTTATGCCAGAGTGACATGAAAAACAAAGGGGCCGAATCCAATGAGGGAAATAAGGAGTTGGTATTTGCCAGCACTGCTAGACTGTTGGAATCTTCACTGAGCGGTAGGAGAGAATTGACTGGAGACCCTGACGGCACTTCAGTGCTCTGGGTGAGCATGGAGGTGTTGGGAGGGTCTACTGGTAACACCACTGTAGTGCACGCAACTGCCCAACTCTTCCTGCAGGCACTCTAACCTGCTGTGTGCACACACAGACTGTAACACACCACATGGAATGTCCTCCCCTTTGGCCACTGTCCTGCAGCTTCAGCCTGAAGTTCTAATGGCTTCTAACTCAGATCTGACTGATGCTGATGCTTGTTAGGACTTGTCAGGGTGCTGTGGTTTAACCCCAGCCAACAACCAAAAGCCACACAGCCGTTTGCTCACTCCCCACCGACAGGGTGTGGGGGGAGAATCACAAGGGTAAAAGCTAGAAAACTCATGGGTTGAGGTAGTCAGTCTAATCGGCAAAGCAAAAGCCACACACACAATCAAAGCAAACCAAGGAATTAATTCACTGCTTCCCATGGGCAGGAGGTGTTCAGCACCTCCAGGAGAGCAGGGCCCTGTCACATATAACAGTGACTTGGGAAGACAAACACCATCACTCCAGATGTCCCCCCTTCCTCCTTCTTCCTCCCACCTTATATACTGAGCATGATGTCATATGGTATGGAATATCCCTTTGGTCAGTTTGGGTCATCTGTCCCATCTGTGCCTCCTCCCAACTTCTCATGCACCCCCAATGTCCTTGCCAGTGTGGCAGTATGGAAAACAGTAAAGGCCTTGGCTCTGTGTAAACTCTGCTCATCAATAACAAAAATCTCTGCATTATCAACCCTGTGTTCTGCACAAATCCTAAACACAGCCCCATACTAGTGAAGAAAGTGAACTCCACTTCAGCCCAGAGCAGGACACAGGGTCATACCAGCCTTGTTGAAGACCTGTGAGTTCAGCACATGGTTAAACCCTGAGACATCCAAGACAATCTTCCCATCCCTGGAAGAGCCCTACACTGACAGCCTCTATAATTGCTCTGTAGAATTCCTTCAGCTTTTCTGTGGGATTTTGCTGGCTGGGTGCCTTAATGGAGAGGATTTTTGGCAATTGTTTCCTTGTTGAGGCTGGGTCACATGAAAGAAAAACAAGTGGTGT